AGTTTTCACTCTTGTCCCGCAATCGGGATTCTTCCTCAATCCAAAGATGTTTTTGCAATTGTTGTGAGTTTAGCAATTACAGCCCCTATTTGAAAGGTCTTCGGGATTTCAATCTTCACCGCTTTCAATTTATTGACAATCACTTGCAACTCATGCACTTGGGAAAGTTGGGGGATATTTTCTAAGAATTTAAAATCAAATACTTGGAAATTAAAAACTTCTTTGTACCTTCCTTTTCCGCCTTATACTTACTTACCAAAGCGTTCCAGATTTCCTTCGCCGAAGTTGTATTTGTATACAAATCATATAAGCAATCCGACAGTGCATTCAAGATATGACCGCGGCAAATCAATTCATCTTCTTGGCATTTTTGTCTCTCGGCCTTGATTGCTTCAATCTCTTCATTTGTGGGTTCCGACAAATGCGCCAATTCTGGATCAAAGATATAAAAAATCTTCAATGCTGTTAATAGGAATTTCAACTCGTCTTGCCATCGCGTGAAGTTCGTCCCTTCAAAACGATCCAATCGAACCAGATCTTGATTCATAAGTTTAATGGTTGCCATGGTTGTCTCGTTCTCCATCGCAGGAAAATTTAGTTTGAGATTGTTGGAAATATATAGAGGAATGAAGAAGAGACAACAAAAATGAAAATGTAATCACAAGTTGAATTAATATCCAGAAATTTGAGGAAAACAAAATGGAAGGCTCGAACGCGTAATCACTGTCCTCAAACTATATTTGCCTCCTTTCGGGATTGAATGAGATGCTTAAGGATCTTTGGCAAACAGTTTGTAGGATTATAACAAGCTTTATAAATGATCTAGCACCAAAGCATAAGTGCGATCCTCCAAAACTTTAAGAACACAAAGAAGAAATTGAGTATGAATATCATTTAATTGTTTGATCTTTGATTTTGGAATGAGTATTGATCACAAAATCTTATTCACATCATTTGGCTTTAGATTCATCACCTATTTATAGGCCATCATCAAGTGTGCACGAAATGGTGCCAAAATAGGTTGAAAAGCCACCACTTTTGAAGTTATAACGGTAGAAAAAGGCTCCCAACGGTCACAGGAAATCACCATGCGGCCGCATAGAGTAATTGAAGGGCCCCTTTAAATCTCGGTAGATGGCCATGCGGCCGCATGACACAAAGTTTGGGCCTCTGTTTTTTCTTTATATTTCCACCGTTTGGTTTCCATGCCGGTTTTTCTTTAACTTCCTTCATGTTGTTTCATTCCATTTTCATTTCTTAATTGAATTTCGAACAACAATATAACATGACATGGTCACATGGCTAGCAAACTTGGTCCAAGCAAACTTGTAGTGTAGTGTAAATCAATATATAAGAGTTAGAATTCGGAGCCAAATTTGACAAAATTCTACATTGAAAGGTAGGCAATATACATTATTGGATATGACGAGTATGAACTAAACCATCTAATTTGAAGTTCATCCATGGTAGATTAAATTTGGACCAATTAGTGAGTTTGACCGTATTTTTTTTAAGGTATGATAAGTTGTGATTACGAAATGTAAGGATAATGTGAGTATTGAGTTGTGATTTTTACGAGCGTTTGAATGCAAAATATGTTCGATCAACTTAAATTATAATTTAACTTTTACCAAACATGTGCTTAAAGGTCAAACTTTATTAAGGTTTGGTATAAAAATAATGCCTTTCAAGTCAAGGTTTTGTAAAGGGAATACCACATAAATCATCCATTTAAAAATCACATTTCAAATCTAACAAATTTCTAAAAATCTTTCAAAAATCAGGTGATGATTAAATTTATTAAATATTGAATTATAATATAATATAATTAATCTACTTACTCCACCCCCACCCACCTCCAACCCACACACCCATCACATCAAACCTTTCACTTTCTCTCTTCACTCCATCCTACCTTCGACAACTGTTCCGTTGACGGTTCCGGTAACAATTCCGACGACAGCTCCGGCAAGAATTCCAGCGACCACTCCGGCGACAATTCTGACGACCTCTCCGACGAATATTCGGCAACCTCCGACAACGACTCTGACGATCATTCCAGTAACCGCTTACCTTTCCGGTGACTACTTTTTTTTTCTTCTTTTTTGGCAATAACCTGTGACAAGTGCACATTGTGATCTGCGACCAATTCTATTGGATCTGTGACCTAATCAAGTAGGATGAATACGCATATGACCAATTTCAAATTATGAAATGAAGTTTGAAATTTCAAAAATCAAATACTATTAAAATTTTAGTTATGAAATATTTAATCAAAATTTTTTTTTGTAATTAAATAGGTTAAATTCACAAATCATTTTTCTTCTTTTTAGGCAATAACCTGTGACCTGTGTACATTATGACATATAAAATATGATTTTTAACTTGTAATTTGTTACCCTTGACTCGTACCATAAAATGTGACCTGTAAATTTGATCCGTGACTTTTACAAAATTACATGTGACCTGTTGTTATTGATTTGTGATCAATTTATACTAATTCGTGACTTATATATAATAACTGCGACGCGTGAACTCAAACCTGTGACCAGTGAATTGTGACCTTAACGACGAATTGTGACCCATAATGTATAAACTGACCTAATGTATTCATGACCAAAATTGTCTTTGGTGTGACTGGATGTGACCATGTTAGTCTAATTTGTGACTATATATAACCAAATCACATATGATTATAGTTCACACAAATTTGATCACAAGCAGTCATAACGAAAATAGATTTGGTCACTCATCACCATTCCCAAACACCGACAACCAAACATACACCACCTTACCAGAACCACATGTACTGTCGAGAACCATTGGAGCCGCACCACCAATACAACCTAACAGCATCGTCATCGACACAGCACCATGACCACCACAACCACCACCACCACCACCAGATTCAACAAAAATCACCATATCCACCGCCACTGCCACTAACAAAAATTAGTCACCACCATATCCAACAAAACAACCTTTGTATATATTAATCATCAAACACCTACAACAACAACAGTTTCTTTGGGGATTCCATACTGCAAAATAAATTGATCAAATATTTCATTTATGTCGAGCTCCATTTTCTTCAATTGAATCTCGGACCACGAGTCGATTGTCACAGATCGAACAAAGAAATGTCAAGGCCAAGATGCTTGCTTAAGTGCTCAAGGCACATGAAAAAGTCGTAGCAGATGGAAGCCTATTGCTGTATTACAGATTCTTTTGCAAGCAATCAACGCAAATCTTGCTTCTCAACTGTGATTGGAGCTCTTGCAACCAACATGAAGTTGCCATTGTTAGGTTTTGAAACGGATCTAAGAAATGATCAGATCAAGCGTTGTGTACGATTGAAATTGGGGATGAAAGAATGGAAAATATAAAAGTTTCGAGACTCTATGTGTGTGTGTGTGTGAGAGAGAGAGAGAGGAAATAAGTTTGTCACCAGATCCTCCGGTAGTCGAAAATTCACCTTAGAATACGCATAAGCTGGTGAGTAGAGGGTATGCCTCGCCGCACTGCAAGTCATCATCACTACACCTCGACCACCAACGAACCACCCACAAATTAGAAAAGGTTTGTTGAATCCACCAATTCCGGTTGTAGACTTCTTACTCTGCGGGGATCGGCTTTCTCCAACAGTTTTGCTCCGCCCTAGGGGTTAGGTGGGGTGGGTAGAGACTAGAGAGAGAAAATTAGTGATGATAGAGAAAAAGATACAAAGAGTGAACTGGAGAGAGAGGAGAGCTGGGTGTGGGACTAATCGGAGTGGGGATGGCGTGGGGTGGTGGATTTATTGTGCAGATTAAGATTTAATTAAATTTGTATTAATTACATTTAATAATTCTATTTACCACCTGAAATTTGAATTTTAAACTTAACTCCCATTGTCTATGAAAATTAATCTTTAATTGCAGGGTTTTATGTAATTTTCCCTTAAAACAATTCTCTCTTTAAAAAAAGGTAAGGAGTACGGCCCTCCTTGTATTGTAAAAAAAAATAACGAACTTTATTCTTTACATACAAATAGCATACGTCGATTCTTAAAAAAATTTCTGTACATTTGGTAAAGCTTTTTGTATATTATAAGTTTTGGGGCCTAGGATATTTGAATAAAATTGATGATAGATCAACTTATCTATAATTATATTAAAATATCACGTTAAGGAAAAATTATTTTTTGGACAATTTTAATCCCCACAATTCAATTACTTCAATAATACCTTATCTTTCATTATTCGATATGTAATAAATACTACAAAATTATTGTCATTTATAAAATTTGTGTTATTAATTATTAATTAATTAACATTTACATTAATCTAGATTTAATAAATTTTCACTTAATAAATTGTGAATTACATGAATCTAAAGTTATTATAGATGAATTTATTCATATTTATTAATCTAGAAATTTTAATGGATGTTTAAATTTATATATTAACAATTAATTTTTATATATCAAATGTAATTTAAAAAGATTACTCATTTATAGTATTTCATCACTACAAAAAAATTTGAATCATAGAAATTTAGTTTTGTGAAAATAATTTTCTTATATTAAATTTCTATGCTAAATTTTGTTTTATATAATTTGTCCGAAACATATTTAATCCTCCAACAAATTAGTATCAAATATTATTTTCACATCACTTATAAAGTATTTTAAAATAATGTGCAATCCAGTAAGCTTCAAATGACTTTACCAAACATACTCCACATAAAGTGCACATAACAAGAATCCCCAACCTAAAGCAAGTGTTTCATCGAAGCCATTCTATCGTTTGCAAAGACCGAACTTACACCAGCAACTTGTTCAAAAAATAAATTAGAAATCAAAAGCAGTATTCCAACAAGCAATTTACAGGACACTACAAAACAAATGATCGTAGTCTATAGAACAGTGACTGCATAAATCCCAAAGACCAACCCTCCTCCAGAAAGGAAATAATAATAATAATAATAATAATAATAATAATAATAATAACAACATTATGGAGCAAAAGAGGGAACTAATCATTGAAAAAACAAAGAGAATTTGATTAGATATGTCAATCTAAGAATTTTACATATCATTAGCTGCATGAAGATCGCAGTGCTTTTGAGTTTCGAGTGGTCTACCATTTGTAAGCCGTTTCTTCCATACATCGGTTTCAGTCAATTCTATTCTGTCCTACGAAGAAACATTGATAAAAATATAAAAACATTAATAATGAAGCTAAATGTACAACCTAAATCGGAATGTTGAGTTTTAGAAATAAACGTGATATATAAAAGTTGCAAAGTGATACCTAGTGTAATAGAAATTTAATTTCACAAGCTAGGTTCCATTTTACAGTAGACTATAACCTGCAAAGAGACGGACTGCACAGCATCCAGGATGTTGCATGCTTAATGAACATAAAAGCGCGAATGACGCCTTCGAGAACTGTGAGAAACCAAGTACATGGAAATCAGAAAGAAATTGAAAGTGAAGAAAACAATCGGAAAATTACGAAAAATAAAAGAGTCAACTAAAATAATCACTTGATTTATACCTTCTCATCTAATCCTCGATCTTGTGTTTAAGGAGTTAAGAATCAATATAAATGAACCAGAAATTAGTGCCCAAACTACCTTAATGGACAAGATCCAGATAAAGACATGTTTTAACTCTTTCTTGCTAATGTTCATGGCATAAATGCATTTCGGGGAAGAAAATTTATAACAGAAGGAAATGACTTCATTTTTTGCAAGATTATGCCATCTGCCATATCATTGCAAAGAAGAAAAAGGTATGAAGGAGCATATAAATCACTTTAGTCCCTGTTTGACAGCCATTATTTCAATTGTTTATTTCTCATACTCATTTTTTATCACACATTTACACAAGAAAATATTTTGCACGTAAAGGCAAAACTATTCTTTTCTTTTTAACCACAGATTCTCGAGGGGGCAAAAAATAAAAAATCTATTTAAAACTCCATTTTCTTGAAATAATGGCCAACAAACAGGGGCTTAATATCAGTCCTGACCTAAATTACTCAATTTGGATTTTCTCGGCTTTACGAAATCAAAATTAGAAAGATTATTTAATTAAATATAGGAGGCTCTATTTAGGGTAATTCAATTAAAATTAATAATTTTCAGTGGTCTCAAAGAATTTAAAGATTCTCAAATTATCCGAGTTGGGAAGTTATATGGCCTCAAAGGTTTACTAAATATTTGAGATGTGTCTCTTTATATGCCTTATCTGGAGAGATGAATGAATAATTATTCATCTTCCGGACTTGGAAGTAAAATTTTGGTAGATAGGGATCCCAACTTCCCAAGGATTGGATTAGGAGGTGTTTTGGATTGATCAGGTCTTAATGGTTCTCTTAATCCCATGCCAATATATTCTCAAATATGATATCCAAATATAACAAGAAAGAAGCAATGAAGATAACAAAATCCATTATTCGCAATTCTGTGCAAAATTCAGAAGATTGGTAGGTTAATATAGCAGTAACTTTTAATATATTTATCAAAAAAGAAATATATTTAACTCAAGACATCCCTTCACCAAAGTTTTTGAATGTGTGTGTGTCTATATATATATATGCATATGTACACACACACACACACACACACACACACACACACACATACATATGAGCTCATAAATTCTGATTCATATGTTAAATTAAAATGTCAACAATAAAGAGACTACAGATATTAGGCTTTATTTAATATCCAGGTGATACCTGGAATCCAATTCCTTTTTACATTAATTATCAGCTCAGTTTTAGATATAACCAAAAAAAGAAAAAAAAAATAACAATATCAGAATTATCAGGAGGCTTCATCACTTAGAATCACCCACTATAAGCTATAAGCAAAAGCTTACAACTATTCTGGTGTGTGTGTTTTGGAGGAGGTCATTATACAGCTTCTGTAGCTGGTGCAAATGCAACCAAAGAAATTAAGAAAGACTTATTAATCATGGATCCACAAGAATAAACGACGGCACATCACTAAAAGAGAAACTTATAGGCACATATACCAAAGTCACTCACCTGCGGTGATCTGCTCTTCCCCTTGAGATTCCACTTGCACTCCCAAACTCATCATCAGCCTCGTCTGCTATATAATCGGCATATTCTACAGATGTTACAGAACCCTCATCAGAGTTAGAAGTATCATAACTCAAATGACGGTTTCCTCTTCTAGAATCACCAACTCTTGATCTTCTCCTGTTTCTAGACGTCCTAAAATTTTCAAACACCTGATACAATATGCAAGATGTCCACCAGTTCCCTTCATCCCCAGGGAAGTCATCACATTCATCACCAGAGTTATCATTCCCATATTCTATCACATAATCACCCAGAACAACCCCACGTGGGACTTCTGAGTGGATAGTGCTCAAAACATCAATGATCTCAGAGGATTGCTGGAAATTCTCCCAATCAAGCTGTCGTGCAGGATCAATCTTTGAAGGGCATGCATGAGGATGCTCTAAGTGTGCATGTTTATGAAGTTCCATGTAGGTGCCCATGAATCCACATTTTTCCTCTTCACAACAGCGTTTCTTCTCGTCCAAATATGTACGAGCATTATGAACAACTACCCATCCAGTAACTTCTCCTCTACACAAGGGACACAGTGGTTTGCTGTCCGACACCAGATTCAAACAGCTAACGTTCTCCACAGAGCTTGGTGATTGGGAACCGGATAGCATCCCACTTGCTTGTTTAAAACGATCCAGACAATTTGAGTGCAAATGGTCAGTGTCACACACAAAAGGTCGGCATCCTTTTTCATACGATGAACACTGAAGAAGAACGCCATTGTGAGGAAAGTCAAGGCATATGGGACAAATGACATCATCCCAGTTGGGATACAACTCAACCTCCTCCATTCAAGTTGTGTTTGATGGTGATCCAACCAAAACTTTCTATGCACATGAAGAGACTAAATTATCTACTTTTGAAAAATATATGGCCAGAAATCAATATCAGAACAATGGATGATAGCCAAGCACATTGTCCAGCACAAAGTTCACAATCAGGTTCACAGAAACAATTAAAACAAGAAAAGAAACTGTGTCGAATGCTACAGGAGACAGAAGCTGACAGCACTCATTTAGCGGAACACTAAAATGAACAATTGAACATGTTCACTTTAAGAGCTTTTTAAGATGTAACTAAGTACCATAAAGAACTAACTAATAGCATAGAGAAATACCGGCGGCCACGAAAATTTAAAGATAAAAATAATTGCAATGAAACGGTGCAATCTTAGTAAATAATGAGATAGAATCAAAGGTCCTACCTACCATAAAAATATTAAAATCGTATTTATCATGCATTACATCAGCTCATTAAGGTCCTCGTATAAATTTCTTGCATCCAACACATACAGAAAGCATGGTCGTCATTCATTATGTGTTGTCGTTAAGGCCTACAAATCTAATGCACCTGATATATAGAGCTACTTTTACTCCATATATCCTTTATAACGATTTTTTATTGTGTAACTGTAGATCATTCATGTCACCACTTATCCAAATTCAGTTGGAAGGATAGATGTCGGTGGAAGAAACAAACAACAATTATCAGAGACATGCTTACATCCGCAATTAGTCAGAGGAACAGAGGTACAGCAAGGAAAGATCAAATAATTGAGAAATAATTAAAACAGTGAAAACAAATTCAAGGGAAGTTACATAATCCACTCATTACCTTTCTCTTAGAACGACTTTACTATTATTAATTTTTTAACTCAAAATCATTTTTCAAAAACCTAGCATGATTGTCAAAGATGCAAATTTAGGTGAACTTATATGCATTTCTACCAATATATATTAACAATTTATAACATTTTTTTTCTTTTGGGGAGTTACTTCACTAGTAATTGCTTCCCTAAACTTCTCACAATCAGTCTTTCCAAATCTACTTCTTTTTATGATTTAAAAAGGCCAAAAAAAAAAAAAAAAAAAAGAAACAAGAAAAAAAAGGGGTCTTCATATTAAAGTGCGTTAACTTTCTTGAGGTTCACAAAGAATTGACGTCAAATAAAATTGGGGGAAATTGGATGTAAGTTGAATCGATTTCCCCATTTCATACGAAAAAGCTCAGGACAGTTCGAAAATGGCACCCAATCAATCAGCCAAATACATATGCAAAAAGGAATTGGCTTTAAAATCATATGGAAGCAATAATTAAGCATCAATCAAATCCACTGTCCATAATAGTACTAAAAGTCAACCGATCCAAAACCTCGAAAAATCATGTGAACATATGTTCCCTTGCATAGATATATAGAGGGAGAGGAGAGATGGAGCAAAACCTGGTGAATTAAAGATTCTGAAAATGGTGCAAAAAGTGAAACGGGAGAAGATGGTGTGTCGTTGAAGTTTCAAGAATTTGTTGTGCCCTTTCTTGTTCACATCTGTTTAGTCAACATCACACGGCATATTTGAAAAAATTTAAATTAGGGCATGATGGAATAGGATAAAAAATTATTAAAAAAAAAATAAATTAAAACATCAAAATCAATAATTAATTTTAACAATAAATTTATAATTTTTATTAATTTTTAACAATATATTTATTAGTTTTTATTAAAATCTATTAAAGTTTTTATCAAAAACTTCGTCAAGAAGCACAAACATTTTCTGCTTTACTTTTTCCATTTACAAGTCATCTACCATCCATGGGTCGACTCAGAATTAGGGTTCGTTTCCGGTCAAGTTGTGCCTTGGTTGCATTTTATGTGTCCCGATTGTCTTGACTTGGTTGAACGATGTACTTTGGCACTTTTAAGTGAGATTGGGGGCATGTTTAATCCTCCTTTTTTAGTTTAGAATGCATTTTGAAATGGTAGAATGATAGAGAATATATGGTTAAAAATAAAAAAAAATTTGAATTTATATATAATATTATTTTATTAAAAAAATATGTGGTTAAAAAGAAGAGAGAAAAATGTATTTTGAAAAAATAAGAATCAAACAAGAGCTTAAAATAAGATGAGTATTTTTGAAATTTTCTTTTTTATTTCTATGACTTTTATATCTCGCAAACTCTTCAAATTAGAGTTCCTAAACTAACTTCTCGTGTCTTTTTTCTAGTCTTTATGATGCTAGTACAACACTATTGTCGATCAAGCATCTAGTTTGAGTACATAGAAAAGATTTAGCCCGACTTTGTAGCAACATGTTTGATGACTTGATACAATTATAAGTCTTATATAATTAGTCTATGTTTGATACAGATTCTTTAAAAGTTCATTTTTCAATCACAGAAATGCTCAATTTCAATTGCATTTGTAACGGTAGCTCTCTTCCCCATCTGTTACCATAAGCTCAATCAAAACTTTGTCGTTATTGGCAAGATTAACCATGTGACCTTTTTAACAATTGGGGACCAAAAAATCGCTTTAAAAGATAATTTTGATTGTGGTCCCACATTTTTTTAATACATTTTTACTATATATTTAAAAAAAAAATAATAAATTATTTTATGATCATAATATATTCGAAAAGAAATATAAATCAAAGGTAAATTGATTACTAGAACACGTGTGACTAAAGCTTTAAAGCAGTGAAGGTTACTTTTAAACTTTTGAAAAAATATAATTTTAAAAGTTATCTTTTTTATTAACGAAATTTGCTTTTTATTTCGACGTTAGCCAAACATAGATATCCATGATATAAAGCGTCAAAATGGGTCGGGTCGGGTCGGCTCTGGTCGGGCTAGCCCCACATTACCTCTACCCGCCAGTTACATATGTATGGATACAAAACAAAATAATAACTGAAACTAACGAAATATCAAATATTCAAATCATTTCAATTTCCATTTCTCACAATGGCAACCCCCTCGTGCTCTCGATCTGGCGCCGGCGTTAAAATTGTCTCAAATCGGCGGAAGAACCGGCTAGCTGCCGGTCCTTACGACCGTCCGCCTCCGCCTCCGAGAAGTCCTAATTGGTTAGCCGATGCAATTCTCCACTCTGCAATCACCCTTGCTTCCGGCGCCGGAAAAATCCTCTCCTCCGTTCTCCTTTCCGACTCTTCTTCTGATGAAGATGTTGACTCCGCGTCTGGTACACATATTTTATTTACCTGCATTTCGTGTGTTCAAAAGTATTCACCGAAATTGTGTCTTTTAACATTCCCCTCTGTGCTGTTTTACATGTTTCATTTTTGTTGTGGAGTTTGAATTAGAGTGTAATGAAGTCTATTGCTTGTCCCTATGTATCTAAAATAATGCTCTTTTATTTAGGTGCAATTTAGTGTCTCTTGACTTTATGCAATCTCCGAAAGGTTGTGAATGGTTCATGATTTGAATATTTTAAAGCTAAGTTTTGTACGAGTTCGTAATGTTTGGCACTCTGTAATGGATAATCTGAATTTCTGAAACAGTAGACCGATATCCTGTGAGTTTGGTTCAGCAGGAAGAATCACTAAGAGCTGTGGCGGAGAGTTTGAAGTCTAAATTTAGAAATAATAAATTCGAATTTTTACTTCACTCCCTTTGATTGCAACACATACCAGATAGGAAAATCCATTCTGTTTATGGAAAATTGTGATACCATCAGTATTACCCCACCATGCAGATTGCATTTTTTGTTCGTAGTGTTTGATTTGGTCTTGTTTCTATTGGTAGCTACTGAGTGTGCCAAGTTAAAATGTTATCCTGTTGCTCACCTTTATTCCCTTTCCCTCCCCTTCCCTCTCTCCCTCGTGTGTGCATTTGTACTTTTTCTGATTGACATTAGAGTTGAATTCTTTTTATTGTTCTTCTTTCCTCTTCTCCTCCTCCTTTTCTGTGTGCAGAGAATGATGCTGGCAATGATAATGACTATGAAAATCCTTCTGATGAAATTGATAAATTAAGCCAGGTAACTTTCTGCTTCGTGTTGTAGCATGATGATTGCATGGTGCTGATGCCAAATAGAAAATAGAAGAACTGACAAAATTTTGATACTTCCATATCGTGTTAGTGTGCCTAAGCACTAGTACTTATCCAGGGAGAGAAAGGAAGAAAAAGATCTTTAGGAAAGGGGAAAAAGATTCATAGAAGTAAAACGCAATACTTTGTTCGATGTATAAGGTTTTTGGATGTCTACATGTTATTTTACCACCGTATGATGCATGACAATTACAGAGGTTCTTCTTTAACTTTTGATGCTAAAGTCACCTCAGGACAAGATATCGAGTTTTTGCACTGGGTTCATTGAATGTAGGATGAATGAGGAGTACAAAAACAAATTCTTTCAGGTTGTGAATGGGTTAGGTGGACACAACTCTTCAATTAGTTAGCATTTTGCTTTTTATAATTAAAATGAACTTCCTTGAATTGCTCCTCCGACGAAGCTATGCTAGAAAAAAAAAGTTTAATTGCTTCCAATTGCATCAGCATATTTTTGTTCAACTGTGAAACATGTCTGGTTCAAATTTTTTTAGTGTTGAAGGACAACATATGGATTATATCACAGAGGTTCTACCAGCCATCTCAACCTGTAATCTACTCTTTCAGTTTTCTCTCCAGGATTTGAAGGAGAATTTCAATTCTTCTAATTTATCTTTCTCCTTAGTTGTAAAATTTGTTCCATGTTTGTTGGTAAGAATAATCTAGAGAATTGAGATCTTCCAGTCACAGTGAGATAGATTGGCACTTGATATTCTGTTTATTTATTTATTTTTTTGAAGTATGTTTAAATCTTAGTAAATGCTGATACTAGATTACTAGTAAAACATGTCATTAACTTTCAGTCTGTGGCATCTTAGCCTCTCAAGTATTTCGGTACAGTTAAATGAGTAACTTTACTTTTATCATTATTTCCAGAAGAATGGAACTTCATTGCAAATGATAAAAGACGGACAAGAGTCCCAATTTAGTGCAAGTAAAAGTATAATTGAACGGTTGATTATGCAGGAGACGTATTCAAGGTAATAATGACAATTCAGACAAAATTTGATCTTTGTTTGAAAAATTTTCTAGGATTTTTTGGGTTACAATTTTTTTCTCTCTGCAATCTCCATTCATTCTCATTCTAGATTCTTTTAGCTTGTTTTGTACCCACTTGTGACAGTTGCTAAGTTACGGAATTTGTGGTTTCCTGGGCTCTGGCTTTAGCATTATTTCATAATAAATATTTTAGAACACAATCTTTATTGTGAAACATAAATTTATGATTGACAACTGGATATGCAATGTGCATTATTCGGAGAAATTGTAATAAAAAGGAGTAATGGGTCCCATGAAATGTGTGGTTAATAAGTGTGTAGTATTTTGAATGTGTGGTTAAAATTAATATTTGACTTTGACTTTAAATTATAAGGAGCTAATAATTTTTTTCAAACATGATATTAGTGCAAGGAATATGATCTTCCCATAGTACTTATTGTCCTCCGATCTGTAATGCAACATTTTGTTTTCTATTTTTCTCTCAGGGATGAGTGTGATCGACTGATTAATATTGTTAACTCACGAGTAATAGGTTATTCCATAAATGAAGCTGAGGTGAATGGTCTACATACTGATGCCCTGAGGGATATTGGCAATGGTACTGTATTATTAAAAAATTGCAGTCAATTCCACTTGAACTCTTTACATGTCACCGTAGGGTTCTTTCTATACTTCACAGAAACTGTTGATCTCTACAATAAAGATGTTGTGGAAGCCAAAATATGGTTTGAAGAGAAGAAAATGGGATTAAATGCTGGGTCAGATTTGGCACATGGGACCTGTGGTTCAAACTCTGTTGTGGTTCAACCTGTTAGTAATTTTACATCTGAATATATGTGCAAACCAGCAATATTATTGTTATCATTTACCGTCAACATGCTGTTCTTCGTTTTTCTTTTTCTTTACCATTTTTTTTTTTTTGTCATATCACTGTTATTTGTTGTTTATGCTGATTAAATATATCTCTAAATATGATACTCTGGACTCTGGAGATTACTCTTTTGTGTTTTATTTCCCCTTGAAATGGAAAGCTGTGGGTAGTTCTGCAAAGTGAAGCCCATACAGTTTCTGATGTTCCTGAATTTTACTAATTCAGATACTAAGTGAATTTGGTCCACATGTGGATATGTCTAAATCCCGTATGAATGTCTGTCCACCTTGGACCTGTCCTGCACAACATACTGAATTAAGAACTCCGTCAATAATGGTGATGGAGCTGTCCAAGGAAGGAACATTGAATTCAAGAGGAAATGATTATTTGTCTTCAAAGGCGCTTTCTGATTGTTTCTTTTTAAATATCTGCATTTTCTGTATTTTCTTCTTCATTAAGTTGGATCTCTCTTCTATGTCACTTCCCATGTAGCCTTCCGAACTATTTTCCTGTTTCTTTTAAATGCATAAAATTCTATTTTCTATTTGAAAAAGAAATAATTATTTCTTGTCAAATTTCTCAAGCTGCATACAGAAGTATTCCTTTAAATGGAAAATTTGTGAAAAAATGTGAAGCTGCTTTGTTGTCATTTCTTGTTAATGGAAACTGATGGTTCTCACACATTAGAACAGGATGCAAGATTTTTTTCGTGCAAAATGTTTCCCCGCACAAAATGACACAAATCTAACGATCCATTTTTATTTTTCATAAAGCTGCAGATTATACATTTTTCAAGTTTTTTACAGTTGAAGTGATGATTTTTTTTTTTTTTTTTTTTTTTTTTACTCAAAAGTATGTTAATTTTAACATTTAACTTGGAAAAGATTGAGGGTCATGTGCATCCTTTCAATCTCTTTGATTTCATAATTTCCCGAACTATACTTCTTTCTAAATATGGCAGAAAAGGAATTCTCTTTCATCTGGGTCATGGAATATTCAAGAGGAACTTCGAAGAGTGCGTTTAAAGGCAACAAAAGATATGTCATGTTCTCCATCCTCAAAGATTGATCTATCATTATCTGTGCTTGCACCAAAGAGAGGCCAGGAGTCTTTGGTATCTGAGATACTAGCAGCTGGTGTGGGAGAGAGAATGATTGAGCCAAAAGAACCCAATTCTATAGACCCATCTTTGAACTTGGATGCGGGAATGGGCACTGATCCTGGTCTCACAGGTTGATTTCTATCTCACCAGTTTTGATATTCTTCCTTGACGTCAAGAATTCTACATGTATCTATGTTTACTACAAGAAAAAAGCACTCGAAAAGAATTATTTATGGGACATAAAAAACCATTTTTATTTTTCCTGAACCAATTCAGATACAGTAGACATTTGGTTTAGCATCAGTTAAATTTCCAGAGAATGAAAAAACCCTTGTACCATGGTTTCAGATGATGAAAAGACACACCTAACCTCTAAGTGTGTTCACCTTTCAGTTAATTTAAGAATCTGAAAATTTAAGCTCATCATTTCGTGTAAGTAGGTATTCTAAGATTTTTCTTACATAACATTTGCTCTTTCAATAATTATCATGAGCACAATGTAAATTAAACTTCTACTTTATTAGATCTTTCTTACACGACATTTGTGTCTACCCACCGTAGTCATTACCTATGCTTAAACTGGTTCTGTTGAAAACTGTGCACAGTATGGACCTATTCTCCTTTTCAATTTAGATTTGAATTTTATGAGATACTGAAATGACCTTGAATTCCTGTGAATTAGAATGCTGTAACATTATTTTCACATAATTGTATATTTAATTGAGGGAAATTTGTTTGTGTGGTGTTTACAAAATGTTAATTAACCGGATTGTAGAGTCTTTAGTACTGATTTAATAGCAAGGCATGTTTCATTTTACATATTACATTACTTCCAGTTTCTGATGTAGCGCAACTGACTTATTTTTCAACTTTTTCATACATGCAAGTCACTGGATTTAAATCTCCACTGATCAGCTCGAGATTTTGTTTAGTTATACAGAATAATTGGAATTTTTTTTGGGAACAGTAGTTATTCATGTTTTTCTTGTCCCTCTTGGAGGAATGTTGGTTAGTTTATATGTAGAAGGGGAGGGATGAGACGCGTCCTTTGTTGGTGCCTGTAAAATAACCTCTGAGAAATCAACTGTCTCCGCTGTGCTGACGTGTCTTACAAATCATATTCACTTTTACCAGTCCGAGTTTCACAGACCGCAAGTTTTGGCCCTAAGGCTCCGCGCCTCAAGCAGCATTCTCCTCCTCCTTAGGCGTGCAAAGCTCGAAACAACCGGCACACATGCATGCTTATAGGTAGGATACTAGACAATAGGTGCATATGTTGACACCTTTAGTGCACCATTTGGTATTATAGATCATATACCTAGCTGTTGGCCACCTTGCCGTACCATATGGAGAGAGGAGCACTCTCGCTAGATGACAAAGATTCTGTTTTGTGCGTCCCTGGTTTCTCCATTTCATTTTTATGATGTAACAATAGTTATTTGGTTCTTGTTATAGGAGGAAGTTCCTTTCTTTCTATATGATTACATCATTCCGTCACCAACTCTTGTATGCTCGCCATGATTTTCCAATTATTCTAGGATCAACTTGATAGTATCATTTTTCGTTTTGGTAAAGTTGATAAATAGTAATGTAAGGAGATAAACTAAGGTTTTTCTGTTGTTCATTAGCTATGAATTGGCTCTGGCGTAATCGAAGAAGATGGAATGTGAATGACAAGGTAAACAAAGAAAATAAAAGGGCAGCTGAACTGAAGCAAGAACGCGAGCTCAAGAGGCTCAAAAGCTCCGTAAATTACAATGGGAGAAAGGAACAAAGAGGAGAGAGCGGAAATCCAAGCACAATATAGCACCGATATGGTACGTTTAAGATGTCACAATGAATATTTGTTATTACTTTTCTCAATCTCTATACATGAGCTTGCATCCCCTTATGGAACAATTTTGTATCAATACTTATCAAATCAAAAAACAACGGGAAAAGATTACGTCGCTGGATCTGCTGATCATTAGTCACACTGGAGCATATCCTATCAGGGATCATTTTTCCGTGTACTTATTCTCTGCACTCTCTCATTGTCGCTCTCCATTTGTTTTGCTCGTTTTCTAATCATTATTGCTCTCGAAAATATTTTATTGCTCATTTTCTGATGACTATTGCTCTCGAAAGTATTTCTTTGCTCTTTTTCTGATTATTATTGCAAGTGGATATAGCTAAGTGAATCAACTGTATCTTGCAATTAGAAATAATTGATTTTGGAACCCCTTCTTGACTTCTCAATCACTTTTTTCTGTATGAGTTAGCTACAATATCTGTTTTTTCCAGATCCATGTTCAAAGGAAGCTATTTAGTAGTTTTTCAGTAATCAGCAATTGAAGCGACCAAATTTGCTGAAAGACCGTGTAAATGGCTTTCCATGACAAGCACAAATTTGAGACAATATTCTCTTTCTATTTTTTGCTGTTATTGTTTTCTTTTTCTTTTTTCCTGATGGGGGTTAGATACACACGATACAGTACTATGTATATTTTCAGTCTATCGATTAGAATTTACAGATCACGTTGCTTCCCTTGTTTATTTATTCGCAGGAGTGGAAAGAGGATAGAACCATGAATAATCTGATGAGGGAAACCATAATCTGAATGCCATGAGCCAGAAGAAGAAGAAGACAAAGAAAGCTTTTGTAGATGACATGTAAGATTCTGAGTTGAAATTGGCTGAGCATGTATACATACACATTTACAGTATAGAAATCAGTACACATGCAACCATAATCCATAATCCTGTAGTTAGCTAATAGAAATCGGTAACTACATGAACATTTACTCTGATTTCTCTATTTCTAAATAAGTTCAACTTATAAACAATTTGAATTTGCCAAACTTTCAAAAAAATTTTGTCTCATTTTTACATTGATTAGAAGTAAATTGTACTTCAAGCCCCAAAATACATGCAGGCAATCAGAAACATGGCTCTTTTACCCCTTATATTAAAGAGTTCGCAAATTTCTTCAATTCTGATTAATATTGTGCAAGCCATAAGATTCTATCTGTTTCGACCTACTCTTTGAATTTACCGACGATTACTTCGAAGTCTGAGAGATTTTTGCAACTCATCTGGTAAGTGGACGTTTCTCTTTTGAAGGTTGACATCAAAATTCACTGAGCACAAGGTAATCTTACGAATATACTTCCATATTTTAACTCCGACTATGTTTACCATAGCCATTTTCGAACCTGAATAAATGAGAAGGGTTGTGGAAGGTTGACAGCAACCCTAAAACTGTCAAATCAAATATGATGCCAATATTCATCCATATTTCAAGTTTCAATTCTAGTTATATTTTTGACAGCTAGCCCCAGTCTGGAAGAAGGAGGAGGGTTGTGATAAGTTGACACATGGTCTAAAACTCTGACACATCTGAAAGCAATATTTTCTCAATGTTTATGCTAGAGACAAAGCGTGGTGAGAATCACCACAGAATTTCTACCTTCAATATATCAGTCTATAAGCTGGAACTTTCTGAATTCCAGCACCCACCATTGCTTTCCTAAGCTCGGCAACACAATCCCATATCTGTTGGTTGAATATGGAAATTCAAGGGAATGGGGAAGAGAACAAAAAGAAAGAATCAAGAGAACCAAAACTTGGTATGAAGGCTTAAACAACTGATCGTTTTCCTCAAATTATATTTGCTCCCTCTAGGATTTAATTGGTACTTCAAGGGATTTTTGACAAATGGTTTGCAGGATTGAATTAAGCCTTCAAGAAGAAAACACTTAAGCAATAGCGTTTTAATTTCAAAACTTAATGAACATAAAGGGTTTTGAATATGTTTTGATAATTGAAGAAATCTCTTTGATTTTGAAATGATTTGTTTGTATTTCAAGTATTGATTTTTTGTACTGTGTTCAGGGACAAACCCAGACGTTATGTATAGTGGGGTCAAAAATTAAAATGCATTTTTTTTTTCAAAATAACATATTGATTGTTCCTAAAACCCAATTTCAAACACCATTTCAACAAGTTGCAAAAAAATATATCCAAACCCACCGAATCACTTGATTTGAAGAAAGAAATTCAAAAATCAGAATACACACAAAATTTTTGAAAAAAATCAGATTTTTATGACATATCCCGATATCCAAACCCACATACATTTCAAGTTTCAACATTTTCAAATTTTAAAAAATCACAAACATATTTATATTTTATACTGGCTTTTTGATGAAGGCGTCAATCTCAGGCCGGCTGAGGGTCATGGTTGTATTGTATACTTGTATTTTATATTGATTCAATTCAATGATTCATCGAGTTGCGATCACAAAAAGTGTTGGTCTTAGGATCGATTATTCATACAGAAATGATTTGCATACAAGTAAAAATTACAGAAAAGAAAAATACCAAGAATTTTCGCCCATTAGGGCCTGGATGTTCAATCAAAACCTACTTACCCATTGAGTATTTTACAAGTAGATTTGGCTCAAATCCACTAAAAATAACAAAGAATCGATACAAACTGTATGAAGAAACCATAGTTTCTTCACTTAAATTTTCTTTCGTCTCCCTTTACAAAGAAATTGCTCTCTTCACAATTCCTCAAGTTGTATACAAAATACAATACAAACATCACTGAGAATTTTATGGAGATTGGAAATCAAAATCACGAAGTAGAAAGAACTCTAAAAAAAGGAGACGAAGAGAAAACCCTAAAAATGAGACTGTACATCACCACGAAGGGTCACAGGAGGCTTTTATGGTCCAACCAAAGAGACCAGATCCAATGGTCAAAACAAAGCCAGAAGTAGGGACAACAGTTAATCTTACAATTTAGAGAAAAGAAGCATTCAAAAAAAAAACAAAAAAACAAAACAAAACAAAACAAAATGTCAGAAGGATTAAATTCAGTTGGATTTTTAACTAAGTTGATTAAACCTTTTCAACCATATTTCTAACAAAATGAAATTTAATGTCAACATGCTTAGTCTTATCATGATATACAGATTTCTGCTTAAATGAATTGCACTTTGGTTATATGTACAAATTCTAACAACTTCATTCATAAAGTCAATTTCATTTAACAAGCCTCTTAACCATAATCCTTCTTTAACAGCATCACATGCTGCAACATACTCAGCTTCTGTAGAAGTTAGAGCCACAAGTTTTTTGTAATTGAGACTTCCAACTAATACAGCCATCACAACGAGTAAGCATATAAGAAGAGGTTGATATTCTTTTATCTAAGTCATCTGCAAAATCAAAATTTGTAGAACCTTTTAAAATAATACCTTTATGACATCTTTGAAATTGTAATCCTAATTCAGTTGAGCCCTTTAAGAACCTAATCATCCATTTTATTGCTAACCCATGAGTTTCACCTGGATTAACCATAAATCTACTAAGAATATTTATTCCACGAGCTAAATCAGGCCTAGGGCATATCATAAGATACATAATAGAGCCAACAACATTAGCATAAGGTATTTTACTCATTCTATCATACTTCTTATCAATTTTTGAGAATTGTCACTAGAAAGTTTGAAGTGATTTGCTATAAGCAAAGTCACAGGTTTACTTTCAATCATAGCAAAATTTTCAAGTATCTTATTTGTATAAGAGTTTTGATTCACATACAAAATACAGTTTTTCTATCTCTTTTAATCTCCATGCCTAAATTTTTTTTACTTGTTCTAAATCTTTTATTTCAAATTCAGTTTTAAGTTTTTCTTTAACAAAATCAATTTTACATCTATCTTGGCAAGCAATAAGCATATCATCAACATACAATAAGAGATAGACAGAGTCAGGTCCTTCTGGCCTTTTGAAGAAAAAACGAGAATCAAAATTACTCTTAAGAAATCCAAGATCTTGAACGTAAGAGTAAAATTTCTTATACCATTGCCTGGGTGCCTATTTCAATTCTTAGAGTGATTTTTTTAACAAACAGACCTGGTCAAACTTTGGGTTGATTTCAAATTCCTTTGGCTGATTCATATAAATGGTTTCTTCAATATCACCATTTAGGAAAGCAGTCTTAACATCAAGCTGGTCCAATTCCCAGTGGAAGTGAGCTGTTAGGGCCAATACTTAGCAATAGGTGAACATATTTCATTATAGTCAATACCCGTTCTTTGTGTAAAGCCTTTTCCCACAAGTCTAGCATTATATCTTATACCCCCAAAATCAATTTCACTTTTTTTTTTTTTTTTTAATTTTTTTAAACCATTTACAGTCAACAACCTTTTGATGTTTAGGTCTATTGACAAGGGTCCATGTTTTAGTTTTAATTAAAGAATCCATCTCCTCTTGCATGGCTTCGAGCCAAAATTTTGAAAATTTTATTTGAGTTTTATTCTGATTCCTAAATTTTGAAAATTGGGGTCTTCCTTTCTTGTGTGAATTGAAATTGAATAGATTGTTATGGTTGGTCTTTTTGTTTTGATTTACCTTTTCCCTAACATTTAGACCTTCCCAAGTTTAGGATTTTTAAATTCAGATTTCAATTCAAGTTCCCTGTTCCTTAAAGATGGTATAACAATATCAACAGTAAGATCAGTTTTCCCATTCTAAGGCATTTATCAGATCTTTGTATTTTTCACCCAGTGCATTTAACAGAGCAACAACTTGTTGATTTTCAGACAGTTTCTCATCATAGTCAGTTAATTGTTTAATCAATCTTTTAAATTTATCAATGTTTTCTTCTAAGCTTGAAGAGGGATCAAATCTGAAGTTGTAAAATTGCCTTAGCAGGTAGCATTTATTGGGTATAGCTTCAGTCAGATATAGGGACTCAAGTTTTGTCCAAAGACCTTGTGTATTAGTAGGTTCTTCGACCTTCCTAATAACACTATAGACAAGTGCAAAAATATAGAGCTCCAAGCAATCTCATCTAATTCCAGTTTTCCATAGGTACTAATCTCAGTACATAGGGCTAGACAAAACTCTCGAACCGAACCGAGCAATTCTTCTTAAGTTAAATATCCAAGTAGGTATCTAAATCGAGGACCGACGGATTCGGTTCGGTTCGAATTTCGGTTCTAGATCAAGAACCAAATAACCGAATCTCCCTAATTTTTAATTAAGGAAAATTATTTAATTTTTTTCTAAATAAATTTGTTAACTAGGTAATTTAGCTCAAACTCGAAAATGTAATTTTCCTATTTCCAATTTTCAGCTCAAAGCCAAGTTAATCAAATTAATCTAAATTTTATCCAAATCTGTTACTCTATTGTAGTGTCGGTTCTACCGTTCTGGAGAAATTGAAATTGAAGCTTGATAACGCCTCTCCTAATTATTGTGAGCTCGCTACCTTTATCTTCCCGTGATTTTAACAATCAAATTTATGAAAAACTCAAGAAAGAGAGGCGCAAAAGACACATAAGATTGGATTACATTATTTTGTAAGAACTAAAGTTGAACATGCCATTAATTCAATTAATATAACTTTGTAAATATTAAAAAAATAATTATAATAAGGAACCTGAAAATCGAACCGAACCTGAATGGTTCTATAATTAAATTTAGACCAGACGGTTCCACTTATTAAAGACCCAAAAATTTCAGGTCCGATTCGGTTCTAATGAGAACTAAACTGAATTGGACCATGTCCAACCCTATCAGTACACCATGTCCCATCAATATCCTCAACACATCTTCGTTGTAATAATAGAGCTCTCATTTTCTGACGCCACAGACTAAAGACTCCAATCCCTCTCCAAATTTCTACCTCAAATCTTTGTTTAGTAGTCATGATTACAGATAAAGTCACATATTCAAGTTTATATGCCACACATGATATAGCAAGTATAGACAGTGTGAAAGAACAATAAGGATTCCAATATCACAATCTAATATCAAGATATGCATTTGGTCAACGATAACAATTTTAATCAAAGTAAGC